GGCGCGGCCGGGCAGGCGGCGCCGGGCGCGGGGCCGCCTCCCCGCCGGCGCAGGGGGAGCGCCGCCGCCACCGCCATGCGCGTCACCTCGCTCAGCGCCGCGCTCCGGGCATGGCGGCCGTGCGGACCGCGCCTCGACCCCACGAACCCGGGAGAGCCGCGCGGAGGACGGCGGCGGAGGGACGGGCGGGGACGGCCGCTGGCATCGCCCGCCGGTCGCCGCCGCGACACTGCGCCTGCGCCGCTCGGCCGAGGGACGCGGGTTCGAGCCCCGCCGACAGCTGTTGTCATGTGCGCTGAGCGCCCGGACTGTGGCGTTCGGTGCTGCGGTCGCAGGTTTGCAGCGTGCAGCCTCCTGCTTTCCCCTAGAAGCACCGCTCCTTGCACCCTGCCCAACTGCTGCTGGGTGGTGCTGCGCCCCAGGGGCCGCATCGCCTTTCTTGACATTCCTAAAGGATGGAGGGAGAAACAAGCCACGAGGCCCGGCGTCATCTAAGCTGTCCTCTGGCTTAAAAGGGATTCAAGTTTTGTTTCGACCAATTCTGACACAGCAGTGTTTACCTGCTGCCATGGCTGGTAGTCTGACTGCCAGCCTACACGTACTCAGGGCCGGTCTGTGCCCAAACGTTGTCACTGTTCTGTTCCTGACCAGTAAACCTTCCTGGAGAAACACAGCAGGATGAGGGAGAGCACACGCTCTGTTCTTCTGGGCTGGCCAAAGAAGTTACCGAGTAAGGATCAGCACGCTGCAGAAGAGCTGAGAGGCAATGCTAGTAGAGCTTCTTCACAGCTCTTGAGATGAAATATTTAGAGCAGCAGGTGAGCGTGCCTCTTAACCAGCCCTTCCACAGTAACATTGCTCCTCGCTGGGCGACACAGGATTGCTGTGTGCGGGAAAGGGAGAAAGAGAGACTTCTATCAACCTCATTTTTGGGGCGCTGTGTTCGATAAACAAGCTTTAAGCGCTCTGGAGAAACAGGCACCAAATGTAAGTTCCCATCCATCTATTCCTGCAGGGCGCGGGACGCCTGGAACAGGCAGAGCACAAATCCGAAACGCCCACGGCTCCAGCACGGCTATTTCAGAGGGATTATCTCACTTTTCTTACCGAGCCCCATCTGCGAGCTGCGCAGCCCTCAGACACAAAGCCTGAAGTTTCCCACCCCCCCCCGGGCAGCAGCTCGGAGCGGGAAGCGGCCTTTCCGCGCAGGCCGAGCCCTGCGCCACTTCAGCCGCTCCCCACGGCCGCCCCGAGCCCCGGCAGCGGAGCGCTCCCACCCCGCGGGCCGCGCGTCGCTTCCGCATCCGGTGAGCGCCGTGCGGTGAGCGCCGGCTGGGCGCGTCGGAGCGGACGGCCGGGACCCCGCGCCTGAGGGACTGGCGGCCATGAGCGGCGCCGAGGAGGAGGAGAAAGCGGCCGGGAGCGGCCGGGCGTTGGGTACGCGAGGAGCGGCCGGGCGCGGAAGGCCGAGTAGCGCCGCTGGGCAGGCGGGAGCGTGCGCTCCGGCTTCGAGAGCGGCGGCCGCGTCACGGCTCCGTGCGGTTGTGTGCTGCGCTGCTTGCCGTGCTCTCACGGCGGTCTCACGTTCTGGCGCTGCCCGGCTGTGAGGTAACCGCGCCGGCGGAGCTCGCGGGGCAGGGCGAAGAAGAGCGGCACGGAGAACCGTGGGCTGCGCTGCTGAAATGCCTTTATTTGTAAGCGGGAAAGTACCGCTGCTGTCGGGGAGGCGATGGAGCGCTGCCCGAGCGCGCTCACCTTGCTCCTCTCCCGCAGGTGCCGGCGATGCCTCCCCAGATGAAGGGGTCGAAGCAGATCTGCCCGTTATAGACGAGAGAGCAGTGGAGCAGCTGGCTGAAGGGCTGATTTCTCACTATTTGCCCGATCTTCAGAGATCCAAATCAGCTCTGCAGGAACTTACGTAAGCAGGTTTTTAAATGCAGCTCCCTTTATATTCATGCTGTTTGCCACTTTTTTTTCATGTGATGTCCTAGCTTAACTGGAAGGCAGTTTGTTGTAGCATTTCTACATTCTGACTGTACCATTTTGAGCAGTTCTGCTGCTCAGAGCACAGGGAGGTGTACAACCTGCAGTGTTGTCTGCTGAATTTTGTTTGAGGGGTGTCCAGCACTGGAATGTTAAGTTCCCACAAGCCAGGCACAGCAGATGGGCAAATTTCTTATATACTTGTTCCATAATGCAAAGTTTGCTGAAAACAGTAGACATATTTTGTAGCAGTAACCTTCGTGTTCAGAGCTGCTTGTAGTGCAATATATTGTTGCTGTGCAGTTCGTAAACTGTGTAGCAGAAAATGCTCTAAGAAAATATTGCTAAGCAGATATAAATTCTTTATGCACTGTTATCTCACTGATAATTGAGAATAGTTTGTTTCAAATGTAGGCTGGGTCTGCCATATGAAGTAACTGGAGTAGCTTTACACAGAGCCGTCTCAGCTCTGTAGGGTACACTGCTTTGAGTTTCATGATGTGTAATGTGGTTATGCTGCTGCCAAGGACAGCTTGTGTCTGGAAGGAATTTAGCTGATCTGTGTGGGATGGAAGATTCTTGATAAGCACTGTGGATCCACACAAGTTCTATGCAGAAATAACGTTGTGCTGCATCATGACTCAGAAGCAACTGAGTAGAAAGACAAGAGGAAATCGTTTTCCCTTCATTCAACCTGTCCCTGCACAGAGGTATTCAGTTGCTGAAACTTCTCTAGTGCCTCTGTCATTGACGGTTTTTAGATGTCATCCTGGTTTTCTTATCATCCTGTACAATATTAGGCAGCAAAAAAAAAAGCAGAATTTTCTCCCCAAACTTTCTAAGTATAACACTATAAGAACTTGCCAGTATGGAAGCACCTGATTTACTGAGTGAGAAATATCTGCTCTGAATACTGAACTTTTGTGGTATATCCTTAAACTCCTTCGTCTGTGCTGCTTTACTCTAGTTTTATGGATCTTTTCTTGTTTCAGACAGAACCAAGTGGTATTACTAGAAACACTAGAACAAGAAATTACAAAATTCAAAGAGTGTAACTCCGTTCTTGACATCAATGCCTTGGTAAGTACTATTAATGCTTTTATAAATTCTTACTAGTATGGATTCTCCTGCTGAAGTATTAGTAGCAACTTAATCCTTTTTCATTATAACTTGCAGGAAGGATAGCAACTAGTTGAGATACGTGGGACAGATTCCTCCTGGAGAGGATGCAGAACCAGCAGATTTCCCTTAAATAGAGAGGGTACTGAGGAGAAAGAATAGAGTCAGTCTAGTTTTCTAAACCAGTAGCCAAAGCAAACTTATTCATTTATTGAGCAGGACTGAGGTTCCAAGGTGAGCTCTGTGCCACGTCCAGTCTACCAGAAAAGATGCTTGAAACACATGTGATACATAAATTGGCAATATTTCTATTCCATTTTGATGAATCTTAATTCAGTAGACTGCCAGGTGTACCCACTGAGATATGATAGTGTAGCAGAAATGCTGAGTCATGGCTCAGTCACCAGGTGATTGAGCACCTGGTGGGAAGGCAGGGCCAACCCAGGGGAGGTCAGGTGCATGCAATGCAGTGCAGTGCATCTTAGTGACTGGAAGGGGTTGCAGCCAGGATCTACCCCTTCCCAGGCCTCATTTAAGACTTGGCAGTGAAAGCGAGGGTATCTCGCTGGAGATCCCTGCCTACCTGAGGCCTTCCAAGGGTAAGTGTATCTTTTCTGTCTTCCTGTCTGTCTCTGTGGCTGGTGCATGATGTTAATCCTCACCTGCTGTAGCCTAGGACTGTGCCAGCCTGCTATGATTGCTGTGCTTTCCATCAGACTGTAGCACTGGAGATAGAATTTGTGTAGCATGTAAGCTTTAAACATAAACTTGAACATGTTTAATCTATTACCAAACTGTTCTGGCAATGCTATGTTTGTACTTACTGTTTTGATGTGTAGCTTTATTAAAAATAAAAAAACCATTTTTTTCAACTTGACAGTCACTGCCTTAACTGCTATGTTTTTGAAGTTTTCAGAAGCTAAACACTATCACAGCAAGTTAGTGAATATTAGAAATGACATGATGATGCTCCATGAGAAAACGTCTAAGTTAAAAGTGAGTTGAGTAATTTTTCTTACTTTCTAACATAACAATTTAGTTATGTATTATTGTCTTATGTTTTATTTTGGATGCATGCTGAAAACTCTGGTGAAAATAGAATCTCTGTTAAATACCATTCATAAATGTTTTTTCCATGTTTTCAGTAGCACCTAACCACCTGTTCTCAAACTTCTGCTTACTGCTTTCTATGTTTAAACAACTTAAGTTTCTTAATTACTAGTAAGTCTCCGAGTTGTCCTCATGGTTAAGCAGTACATTACAAGAATCATGCTTTGTTCTGTCTCTTAATCTGCTCCAGTCCAACTAGTTCTCTCCATTGTTTCAGTTTCTGTGCTTCTTACAATGAGAACTAGACTGTCATAAATGTAAGACTTCTTTCTGTTTAATGTACTGTTAAGTGGCACGGGTTCATAGACTTCATGCTATGTAAGCAGTTGTTAGTTAATTCTGGCAAGATCAGTGTTTCAGTATGTTCAATTAAAAGAACACATTGCACAGTACACACCTTGTCTGATACGTGAAAATATAAACTGTTTTCCCTTAAGTCTCAGTAACTCATCCTTTACTCATATAGGTTAGAGTTTCTGTTTGTTAGAAGGATGGAGGTGGAAGAGAGGAAGAACATAGAAGTGGTTTACAGAACATCCAGTCATAACCACTGTGAATTGGAGAAGAGAGTGTTAAGAGGGAGGAGTGTTAAGTGTTAGGAGGGATTTTGTATTAGTTCCAAATCCCACTGTAAGACTTTTTTTTTTCTTTTTTTCTTTTCTGTTTAGAAAAGAGCACTTAAACTACAACAAAAGAGGCAGAAAGAAGAACTGGAAAGAGAACAGCAACGTGAGAAGGAGCTAGAAAGAGAGAAGCAGCTAACAGCAAAACCTGCAAGGAGGACATGAAAGCAGAGCGTGCAACAACTTGTCCAAATTAATAATTTCTGTATTCTCTGGAGCTAAGGCACACTTTGATTAAACCAGGCTATAGTTATTACTAACAGTCTACTCTGGTGTTATAAATTCCAGAATGTTAATGATCAGTAGGTAACATTCAAATTCTTCACTTCAGTCATTCAGGTTGCCTTCTTTTGTAATGCTATGCAGTTTGATACTATTACAGTATAAGTTAATTTTATATATAAATATATATATGTATATTGGAGAACCTAGGCATCGTGGGTATTTAAATACCTATAACTTTTTAATCTGTTCTTCTGGTGCTTAGAATTCTGAGAGCTGTTTGGTATTTGGCATATATATATTTTCCAGACAAAATATGGAGTTGTAGTTGTTGAAGTTCAATTCTGGTACCTGGACTTCAGAGCCTGTCTGTTACACTGAATCTGCATTGATTCTGGCAGTTGTAATTTCTTTTCAGTGCTGTAAATCAGACATACAGACTCTTTTTTTTTTTCCGACTTTGATTTAGTTGGTTATTCTTTTTTCCTTTTGTGTGAGTAATTGAGCTGAACGATTTCATCTTTATGTGGAACTCAGTTATTTGTAGGAAAAGTTATTTCCATCTATTCATGTGCATTTAGGGGTCATGTGAGCTAGTGTTGTATGCTGTCCTTACTTAAAATGATTATTATTAATGAACGTGATGATAAATATTGTATGGCTGTTGATATCCATTTCTCTGAATTGAATTACTTGCAGCACTTCATGTGAACTCCCTGGACTCAGGGCCTGGACTCTACTGTGCTATATTTTTCTGAAGTCCTAATTTCTACTTCTAAGATTCTTTTTTCTTTGAAAGATCTACTGTTGAGTAGTCATCAAAACATTGCAGTTCACTTTGTGTGTTTGGAGCAAGGAGAACAAACTACTGAAGTAGTCTGAAATGCCTTTTCTGATGTAGTAATAGGTAAAAACTGAAGTTGGCTTTTGTTTTGTCTTAATTGCCAGTGGATTGTTGACCTGTGCTGTGGTCTATGTGTATTTCTAAAAGAAATGTTAAAGAATTTCTACAGTCCATTTTTGGAGCAAAATGTACATAACTGAATATTGTTTAAGGTTTTTTTTTTATTTTATAATGTAACTTCAGAATTAGTTTTTAGGAATTTAGATAGTTCTTATTAAAGCTTAACATGAAATGAGATGCCTCATCATTAATCATCAAGATTAATTTCCTTTGATATTTCTCATTTGATGTTACCTCAGCTGGTGTCCAATTTAGTGTTTCATGTTGAGCTGTTGTGTGTTGGTTGGTAGGTTCTGTTGTCTACTTGTTTTGGGGGAAAGCTTGTGAGTTGCTTTGCTTTTTCCGTCCTCCCTGTCCCCCCAAAAACCATGGTCAACTTCTACTGAAAATACAGAATTCTAAGCAGAAAAATCGATGCTTTTTGCTAGACTGAGTAATTTTATTCCTGTATACATTTTCTTACTTATTGTACCAACTTGTTTTTGAACTATAAGGTCATTGCAGTGGAATTAATTCACTTAAATGTGCAGCACCATTTTGAATTTCCATTTTCTAAGATTATACCAATATATGGATTATACAAATATATGGATTATATTATTATATTATATATGGATTATGGTTTCCTGTGCTTTTATCACTAGATTTAACGTGTGCATAATTTGGGTACCCATTTCCACCACTGTTCAGGTTCACATTGGCCAACTTTTTAATTCAGTGAAATTTGACTTTTTTGCTGACAGTGGTAACTTTGCTTTATAAGACAAATATTTACTATGCTCATATTTTTCTCTTGGAAAGTAATAACAGAATATGCTACCTGGTTTTAGTCTGTGTGCCATGACTTCAGTGATAATAGGCATAAATAGTACTGTGCAGGTTGCTTATGCAGCTGTTCTGTTGAGATTCTTGTTTGGGAGTCCTCTGGCTGATTTATTCCCGGTGGTGCTTCAGTAGACGCTTTCTGCCACCTACTGTTTGCTTTGCAACACTGCTGGTTATTTTAATTCTGTGTTTGGATTTTCAATGCTCTGACCCTGTTGGAGTAATTTTTTTTTTTTTAATCTAAGAGGTTTAATTGTTGTGATTGGTTAATTTTTTTTTTTTCTATTGTATTTTCCCCTCTTGGATTAGTTGTGCGAATGCATGATGTAACGTGGTTTATATAAAGATATCTGGGCTGATAGAACTGTCAGAGAAGAGCTATAAGTTGGGACCTAAGGGGGTCACAACAGGGATAATGTGGAGGACTTTAACTGTTTTCCTCCAGACAGCAACTGCTGATAGTGGCAGTTTCCCACTCTGCCTCCAATCCGTAATCTAAGTGTTGCTCAGGATGTGAGCACAGATGTTGGCTGTGCCTGCTAACTTAGTACTTCCATTTCTCCTTGTTTCTGCTCCCATCCATCCAATTTATGTGTATGATGTCAAGTCATGGGGTTTAAGAAAACAAATCAAACATCCTGCCTAGAAAATGTGAGGAAAAAAACAGCAAATAGAAGAAGAAAATTCTGTGGAACTGTTGCAACAAGTGGATTGCAACTTAATGAAGCAAATCAATTAAAGCTTGATGTAGAATAACTTTAAAATCTACACGTTTGAAGACATTAATCTCTAAAACAGTAAAAGTAATTAGTTTGGCACTGTCACTGACAGTGAGTTGTGAGAGAAAAGGTTGAGCTACTCTGTCTAATGTATTTTAATAAATATATGCCCCTGAACTGCTGTGAAAACAAGACTGTCTGTTCATATGTTGGTCAGGAAAACACTAGACTTGTAAATTAACAACCTGGTGTATTGCCTTGATGAGCAAGACTTGTGGGGTTTGATTTGTTTTATTTTTTTCCTGTCATCTGGGACTCAGTCCTGGGTAACGAGTAATATCCTGAGCAAATACAGCCTGCAATAGTAATTACAGAACAGTTAATTGGAACCTGTTGCTGCCCCACCGCCTAAAAGCAGTGTTCCAGTCCTTCAGCAGCTCAACAGAAGTTGCTGATTTTTTTCCAGTCCTTAAAATTGGATAGAACTCATGCAGGTACACTATGTATGAGAATGTATTTTTATTTCTGCTTCTGCTTTGCTTTGCTTTTACTACTGCTGCTCTTCTGCTAGCCATACAGATGATTTAGAGGTATGCTAGAGGAGTATCTCCAAAAGAAAACATCAAAGATGATGTGAAAGGATTACTGCTTTTCTTCTACATCGTCTGGTGTTACCAGAATTCATTTGAGATTGTACTTGCTGTCAGGTAGGCACTTTCCAATGGAAAATAATACGCACTTTGGAGAGCTCAATGTTGAAGTCTAGACAAAAACATATATAAATTGCATTTAGAAAAGTAAAGGGAGGTACAGTTCTCTTTGAAGATGCGAGCTGATAAGTAACACATTGCTGTAGGCAGATATTGAAATGTACTTGGCTGGGCAGATCCAGTGCCATGCTGGGAAAGCAGGGCTGACTAGAAGTGTGTTCCCTTACCCACAAAGACAGCAGCTGCTTCAGTTCAGCTGAACTAAAGCAGATGGCTGTGGAAGGTCATTACTTTTAGCTTAGATTTCACCAAGTTCTCCTGTGGAGCATCAGCTGCAGCTCCCCCTGCAGCCACAGGACTCTGTGCTCAAGGTACCTACCTCGTGTTTGGTCTGTGTGTTATCAGTTGTTCAAGTGGTACGTTTATTTCTTTAATATTGCAAAATTCTGTAAGAACTCGGGG